AAATTATACTGATAACTTTCAGTACATAACTAATGCATATATATTCCAGGAAAAAGTAGAAGCTAGCAATTTATGTACTAATACATCTTCATACAATGTTGGTAATAGCACAATAAGAACATTGATGAGAATTTCAATGATTTTATTTTAATTTGCACATAAACAAGATGTGTAAAGCCACGTTTCTTTTTTTTTTAATATTTTCAAAAGAACCTCGATAAAGAAATTCATTTTATGAAAATTTTCAAGAACTTTGATTCTATTTCCAAAATAGATTCTCTCAAGGTGAAGAGCTATCTAATCAATGTTCCGATTAGCAGATTTCGCCTTAGCAAAATGAGATAGATTATTTTAATATATTTAAACAAAATTTATGTTAAGTTAAATAATTAATTATGAAAAGTTTGCCACAATCATTAAAAACAAAAACATTTATCAAGAAGTTGATGAAATGTGATAATAATTTGTCAAAAAATCGTGTGTACACGAAGCCGCACACATTTTTTGTATTGGTGAGACGATTCCTTGTGTGATTGGCATATTAGTGTTAAGTCGTCTCGAAGACATGATTTATGTAGTCAATCACATCAAAAAATAGAGAAATTTAATTTTTCTTTTGAGTCAGTTCTCACTCACTCCTATAATGTAGTGAAACTGATGAATAAGCTGCACTTTCAAGTTCAAAAAAAAACTATTTTCCATTTTTGATGGTTAGAATTTCGAAAAGTTATTAATGATTGAATATTCAATGGAAATAAACTGCTATTATTTTATAGCAACTAATTTTTCTAAACAACATCACATTTATTCATATGTTTATCAACGTATAATTTTGATTACTCAGTCGGATTGTTCATATGATTGGCGCATTAACAATTGAATTTAGATAAGTCATCTAAAAAAGGGGACTTCTCTTTGAATTATATTTTCTGTCTGCTCGGGGGCCTAAAAATACATGTAGCCTATTTTTAGTATCGATTGTTAAGACCTTTATTAATGATTGGTTGCAATAAAAACAATGTACGACAGACAACGATACTGCTATATACATATGAACACAAGTCGGACGGACACTTTAAATAAGTAATAAACTGCTTATCAAATGCAAATATGTGGACATTTAAGAATAACATTGATCTTTATTTATTATTTGTAGATAATTATAATGAAAGAATTACTTGATTTACCCGACGAAATGATCCTGGCGATCATTAATAGAGTTAAACCAAAATTTTTATTGTTATGTTCTCTTATTGGCACAGGAAATAATCGTTTAGAACGAATCGTCTTAGAAAAATCTCATTCACTCGACTTAACGTTTGATTATTATAAATCACCATATGAAGCATTTATGAAACGATTTTATGCACATGCGATGCCATGCATTTACAATAATATACAGTTTCTTGCATTCAATCTTCAGCATTTGATAGATATCAGCACATTTGCTGAAGAAAATTGTGGTGGAAATTTTCCAAATTTAACACATTTGAAAATAATGATTGGCAAAAAATGCATTGGTACAGGCACAGCTTTTACATTAGGTGAACCATAATATGATTAGTTTATTTTCTTGACTGTTTATATCAGAATTGAACAATAAAGTTCTTGTTTTAACTGAAATACATATTTAAGAAAGACCATAGATCTGTAGGAAACGTTAGTTCTTCCATTATTTTTGTATAAGAGTGTTTTATAAGATTTATATTTATAATATATATTTGTAGGTAACAATCTTGTTAGCAAAATGCGCAAACAACCTCTTTTCTCTATCTTACCTCAACTTTTTGATTATGAAGATATTGACATGGGTCGAAAGATATCTGCTTTTCGTTGTTCATCATTAATGCGTTCTGTCATCTCGTTTGAACTCGATGATGATTGTATCTTACCAAAATTACTCACTTCCGACGAATTATTTTTTCCTCAGTCACCTCATCTTACTCATCTTCGTATCACATTATGGAGTTTTGCTGACTGTATTCGTTTACTTAGTCAATTAGGGTCGCAACTTCATTCTTTTGTAGTACATCTTTCATTTATATGTATACGCGAACCTGATACTATTTCTCAAATGGCATTGGTAAGAATGTTTTTTGATTTAATATTTAAATCAATTTATTTTATTTAGATTTCTTGTCCTAATTTGAAGGAATTGGCAATAAAAAACTATCGTAATACTCCTCAATATGAACAATGTATTTTACCTCTTTTACAACGTTTATCAACTGTCGAATATTTGACATTAATCTTGGCTATTGGTATAGGCATACATGCACCGAATCATTTTATTGATGGATTTGATTTAGAAAAAGATATTATTTCATATTTACCTCATTTATGTGAATTTCGTTTCCATATTCGTTCAGTATTACCACATGCTCCTCATCAAAATGTGAACACTATTCGTCAAAGTTTTCGTCGTCAGCAACAATCT